AGAAAAAATATTATTCATTAATTTGAGTTTGAGTTTCTGAACTCGAGTTAAAGAGAAAGCTTGAACTCGAGTTTTAGTCCCAAACTCGAGTTCAAACTTAAAAGAACATGAACTTAAATAAAATTGTAACTCGAGTTACTTTTTTGAGTTTTTAACTCAAGAATGGGGCTGCCGAACAGCCCCTAAATCTCAAATTTCATCAGACTCAATGATGAATAGTTTAAATCTCAATGACGAATAGTTTAAATCCAAAATTTTCCATGTCAACAAGACTGCAAAACCCGATCAACAGCATAAACCAGGAGAAGAAAATTAAGAAATCCATTAAAAATAAAAGATAATATATAACAACATTATTAAGCAGGAAAAATTTAAATTGATAAAGTAGCAGTTCAAGGAATAAATAGCCTATACTGAAGATCATCAATGTTAATGACGAGCTATCGCAGGCTACTGATATTTATCCACAAATTCTATCACCAATGATGAAAGACAGCAACAACAAATATAAAGAAATAGCAATGAAACGACAATTACAACCCATAAAAGGAAAATAAATATTATGTTTTTCTCGCTCCTCACCTAAACGTTCTCTCTCCACTGCAAAGAAGAAAAAATGGCGGTATCTTCTAGAAAATCGAGCGGACCTGTACTCCGTTCCCTTTCTCGATCGGGAAGATTCTACAGCTCTCAGTACACCTCGTCGCCTTCTTCCCCTTCCTCGGCGTTCGCTTCATCGAGCTCAAGATTCTCCTCCCGTTCGGCGACTACTTTCTTCCACCGTTCTGCCTCCCCCATGCGCGTCAACGTCTGCAGGGGCGAGTCGCCGTCCGCGTCCTCTAGGTGGTTCTCTCTCGACCGTCCGAGAATGGCAGTTGAAGCAGAGAAATCTAGGTCTGATGGGTCAAGGAAATCTTCGTAAAATGCCGTTTTCAAAGAAAGAAAACTCAATTAATAAGGCTTTTTACTAATATGCCCCGTATTTGAAAGTCATGTGAGCCGCACGTGTAATTTTCTGATGTTAACGAAAAGGACCAGACTGCACCTATTTAAAGAGATTCGGGGTCGTTTTACCAAGAAAAAAAAAATTAGAGACCAAACTGTCACTTACTAAATAGGTTGGAGACCATTTTTGCCAATAACCCAAAAAATTATTTTCATAAATGCTCCTCGAACTATGTACCATAACTCAGAGTGCCCATAATTTTTTAAAATGATTCAAACAATCTATAGAAAACGGTTTAAAATGTGCTTTCCGTCTCATTCCATCTATAACACTAAAGGTGTGTTTGGTTGCAATGGCGGAATGATAATGGAATGAAATTGGAATGTGCTAGAATCATAAATTGATTCTTTAATTTGGTTAGAGTTATGAAATCAATACCTGAATCAAGATTATGTTATTTAGTTAACAATGGAATGGAATAGAAGTAAACTGTATTTTAACAAAAATACCCTTGATTTATAATCATAAATAATTCAATATTCAATTAATTAAAATAGTAAAAAATAATTTAATTATTAAAAAACTATTTATTTGAAAAATAAAATTTAAAAACTATATTTCAATGGTAAAAAAAATAATATTTGATTTTTTAATGTAATAATAAAGTATCACATGCTCAAATATAATCACTTTTGACATCTATCATGATATGTATCGAGTAAAATGATCACTTTGACCCTTGTCAATAATAAAAATGAACCAATATATCATTCAACTAAATATATAATCCCAAAATATAATCATACACCAAAACTAGTAGAATCACCTATATATAACATCCATCATCTGGCAAGTCAAGCAAGTTCGTAGTTAATACAATTTAACAAAGTAAAATATAATCCTAATTAATTAGGATATCAAAAGAGAAATGCATAGCACATACATTACAATATCTTTTATGTAACCATGAAACTAAACAAACCCCTCTTAAATGTAGCCTCGGAACCCCTACCGTTGCACAATCATACATAGATCCGCCAAAGATGATGATCCTTCCACAAGGCATGCTGACAGCAACGTGATCAAGTCTAGGAGGAGGCCTCCAGTGGGGTTCTTCATCTTCTAAATCAATGGTGTAAGCCTCTCCTGATCGCAGCCGCAAGTGGCCACTTTTTGCGAGCCCGCCAAACATGAGAATCTTTGTGCGGCCAAAAACAAAAAGTGAATGCCCCAACCTAGAGGGAAGAGCCTATGACGTTGGAATTTCTCTTTATGTTGGCTCGTCTGTTGTGAGATCCAACAAGTATGTATCACTGAGAAGTACTCCAGCGTTAGTGCATCCACCTGAAACAACCAATTTTGAATCCTCAATTGTGCAAGAACTGTGCCAGGATCTAGGGAGAGGGGGAGTTCCTTCTTTCCATGTTGTTTGTTTGGCGTCCAAGAAGAACGAAGACATCATTGAGCAATCCTTGCCGCCCACATCCTCCAAGAACCAAGAAAATATTTATTTTAGGGGGTTAATGAAACATCTTGTAGCACAATGTCAAGGTCATAGAGTAGACATATATACCTTACAACTAGTAATATATATATATATA